TCCTGTCACCCTTCGACTGCCTCCTGTTTTTGGATTCAACCCGCCCCTGCTGCCGTAGAGCCTCCGCCTGCTTACTCATTCTCCTGACCCACCCTATTCCTTACGGGCTCCCGGGGAGCTCCTCAGCTTAGATCCACTTACTTCTCTCTCTTGAGGGACACTTCCCTTCTTCATCCTCATCTCCCTTACCCATGAACCTTGTTCGAGAGCGAAGGTCCATTGAGCCCTGAGTTCCACTTCCTCCTTCCTTTGTCAAAGAGAGCTCCTCCTTCCTCATCATTGCGTTCCTTCTAATGGATACTACCTGATGGTCGCAAAACGTGTTAAGGTGCTATGGTCTGCTTCATTAACCCCTTTAGGCCTGGGATAGACGGCGGGAGAATTGTTGGGTGCCCGTGGTTTGCTCTTCTGAATATCTGGGCCGCAATGCCCACATTCCAGACGGTATCACGGCAAGGATCAGTGCTCCTATTTCCTTCTCCAGGAAATTCACTTCGGCCAATCATCCTTCCCTTGTACAGATAACCTCTTCTTAACTATTCTTCCTACGGCACTAATTCCGGGTTTTGATTTGCTCTGGTTTCTTGATGTTTTCGAATCGGCGTATGTGTTGTTTAATATAATTAGGAAACTGCGAGTTACTTCGCCCCTATTTATCACCTAATTAAGCCTTTAATTCATACCTTGGTGGGATCTGTTTTTATACTTTTGTCTAAAAATCACCCTGCCTCTCTTCTTTTTCTCTACTCCTGCGGATTAAATAACTCTCTTATTTAAACCCCTCTACCTCACGCCTATTATGTCCCTCGAGTAGTTGTTGTAGTCCCCTGTCCCCTCCTGAACTGAGATCTAGTATTGGTGGCCGGGGCGTGGGTGTGGGAGGATTTTTCCCTTCGAACTTAACTCTAATTCTCAAATCCTCTCTCAGTATAGACCCTTTCTTAATCATTTGCATGGGTCCCTCCGGCAACGATTTACGACTTATACAACCTCCTCCTCTTAAATTACATCTGTCCTCTCACTTGGTGGATTTGTGCCCGTATTTTCTGCCCTATGGTGTCTCCATTATCCTTCCTTCGGTCCCTTTAAATTCCCTTCTACCTTAATCTCTCGTTTCGGCGATGACTTCCTGCCTGATTCCTGGAGAGATTCTGCGTCGAACGCCTGTTAATTGGGTTCCTGACGTGACGCCATTTGTACTTGCCCGTCTGTTTTCGTTCTCTCTTTCTCCTTAAGCCCATAGGGCCTGAACCTTTTCGTCCTCTGGCACTGAGTTATTACAGTAACACCTTTTCCCGGAGAGGACTCTTATACTACGTACTTCCAGTGCTCTCTTGTCGTGGGGGTGGGGAGGCCTACTTATCCTGTCCCCCGACTAGTCCCTTGCAGTCCTAGTGGGGTTATCAGTTTAGATTTCTTCCCTCCCCTCATTGCTTCCAATTTAACGCTTCTGACGTATTATTGGTCAGTGCCACGTCGGGGTGGTTCTCTGATACTTCATACTCAGCTCAGAGTGCCTGCTCAATCCAGAATACTTACTACTAAGACAGCTTAACACCCTCTTGTGGTTACTTAATCCGTCTTAATAATTTTGTATTACTCTCTTGGAATTTCGTTACATGCACTCCTAATGGAACTCAGAAATTGTGCCCTGGTACATAGGTTTCCTAGTCGCTCAGCTCATCGTTTTCCAAGCATCTGATCTGGATGTCAGGTAACCTCTTTGGAGTGAACCTTGCTTGAACTTCCTGATTCTCTTTTCATTGACTGCTTCTCACTTCTATTCTTAACCTAGGCTGGTTTTAGGGACCCAGGCAGTTCAACTTGCACCTGCTCGGTGCTAGCCTTTTCGGTGGATTCTCACTCCTATAACGTCCTCTTATTCGTCTGTTCTGGAGTTTGTCTTTGTCTCACTTTTATTTTTGTCGTGATTATGATCAATCTTTTCCTGCTGTTGTGGATATGAAATAATGAATTCTTTATCTTCCCTTTTCCTTCCTCCCCAGGAAGAATTAATTCATTTAGGCATCACTTCGTGTTCTACGCGTTGTTCGGTGCCGGATTCTTGGACAAGATTAAATGCTTTCTTGAGGGGAGCTCCTGTGTTGTCCTTGTATTCCGGGTCGGAGATGACTTCTCGGTTTCTATACGTGAAAGAATACGTTTTTCTGCGTGCTCCTTTTTTGGGGCTAGACCTTTACTCTTCCTCTTGGCTCAGAGAGATTCTGAATCTTACTTCCTTTTGTGCTCACTTAAATTATCTATTTTGGAACATCCGTACTTCGATTTTATCGAGCGGGGCCCCTCTTATGTGATTGGACATTACTTCATCTTTGTCCTGGCTGCCTTTCCAGGTTCCGGATCCGATGATTAGTGATCTGTGGAGTCATTTGGGACTGTTCTACTTAATTGTGGTCTGTCCCCCCCTTTATTTAGGGGGGATATAGACTTCTTGAAGATGTTCATTTCTCCTGGGTAATAACCTTGTGTTTTGAGTTGCTTGTGCTGCTTTGCCCTCATTCGGGTGTTGGGGGTTTCTGTTTCCTTGCTGTTGTTTGAGTTTGTGACGGGTTCATTCATTGACTCATCATGTTTTAGTCTTAACGCTTGCGCCTCCCTCTCCTATTTCCTGAGGTATTATCATTTAGACTTTAGGGAGGAAAGTGTGCCTCCAGTGATTGGTCGGGATTCTTGAATTTTTCGTTTCAGGAAATATTCCTCTAAAGCTTTACTGTTGTCTTTAGTTGGTATTAGTTGTGCATTCTGGTTGTGTTGTCCTTTAACCTGATATCTACTAGAAGGTTAAAGATTGTTACAGGTTTATGGGGTTGCTGCGATGTAGTGACCTTATCTTTCGAGGATAGAATTATACTTCTGTCAGTTTCTTTTCTTCTCTCTTTTAGTATGATTCTAATTTTCCGACATTGGGATTTTTACTGGACTCCTAACCTTAATCAGCTATTCCTTCGTCACTCATTTAAAGAAAATGCTTGTTTTTCTTTATTTTTGCGCTGGTACCCTAAGTTGACCTGTACTCAGATTCACTCTGAAGCTTTCACTTCTGGGGACCGGTATCCTCTTTTCTTGGAAAGTGTTGGTACACTTCAGACAGATTGACTCCTCTTCATTCAGTTTCTCGTGTTTTTGTACTTACTTTTACTTGGGGTGGGGCGTTTCTTAACTAGGGCCTTCACTCTTGGACTTTGATGAGACCTGATCCTTCTTTATCCTCTATGTTCTAGCTGCGACTTTCTTGTCTGTGGGTGATTTTGGAGGAGACGAGGTGTGACTATTGAGGACGTATATAAATCTAGTCAGGGGTCCTGTAAATTTAAGCTGAAAGGATTATTTAATTTTTAGCTTAGTTTCACCCCATTATTCCTCTCATCAATTTGTTTATAGGGGGGAGCACCTTCTTTCTGCTTTTATTTTGTTACTT